CCGGCCGCCACGTCGCGGTTCTCTCGCTGCCAGGGCAGGGGCTGCACGTAGGGGCCCAGCACGGCCTTCTCAGAGAGCTGGGGGTTAGGGCGGAAGGGGATGTTAGGGTCGGGGCGGGGGCGGGGCGAGGGCCCCGGGGCAGCAGGGGGGACTGGGGCTAGACTCAGCAGACCTGCAGCAGGAGGAGGTCGTGGTCGATGGTGTCCGGCCGGCTGTCTGGGTGGGGCACTGCGCGTAGCACGTCGTACAGGCGCTTGGAGGGCTCCGGCTGTGACAGGGAGTGCGCGCCCAGGAGCACCTGCACCTTCCCGTCGGCCCTGGGAGTGGGGTGGACCCACATCAGAGTCACGTTCCCGCCCCACCTCACCCCACCCCACCCCATCCCGCTCTTTGCCCCAGGCCACTCACATATCCTCCAGGCAGTGCGCTGCACTCATCACCCACTGCTCAGCCACCAGGAAGCCTCCGCACACGTGCTTGCCGTTCACTTGCACGGATGCCATGTAGGGCCGCGAGTGGGACATGGCCTCTTGGCCACCCAGGATCCTGCCGCGGGGCTGAGCCGCTGGAGGTAGGCAGGTCAGCGTGAGGACTTAGCGGGTGACTGCAGCCCGCCACCCCCACCCCCACCCCCGCTAGGATTCTCTCTCTACCCCGAAGCGGCTCCAGCACCCCTCAGACCTGGAATTCCATCCTTAGAATCCTCCCCCACAGAGTTGCAAACTCCGGGGGGGGCCCAGGGAGGAATGCCCAAGAAGACAGATGATAGGGAGTGACCGAGTCTGGGGCAAATTCCGTACCTACACATTGGGCCTGAGACTGCAATTTAAACATAAGGAAAGCGGGACTGTCCAAACCCAACACCCCTGCCAGCCATTATCCCTCAAGCTGCCGGTTTTCCAGTGTGTGGAAAGCTAGGTTCAAAGTTTTTGAGAATTACCCCTGGTGGTCCAGTGGTTAGGACTCGTTGCTTTCACTGCCAAGTGCACGGGTTCAATCCCTGGTGGGTGATCTAAGATCCCACAAGCTGCACAGCCCGGCCCCCTCCCCCCCCCAAAAAAACACCCAAATTTGGAGAATTCCTTCGTTTTCAGAGGCTTCTGTTCACGTGAAACCTGCCCCCTCCCTGCCCACTTAGGGGGGCTGGAGGACAGTCCTGTTTTACAGAGCAGGCCCTCTGGCTGACCGCCCTGCAGGCTGGTGGCCCCCAGCGGTCACCGCAGGCCCAGGTCCACTCACCACACATGGCCGCCCCGAGGAGGATCAGAGCCGCCAGGTGCAGGGAGCGGTCCGCCATGATGCTGCAGTGGCCTTGACACTGACCCAGGCCAGGCCCTGGGGGTGCTTTTATGAGGGTGGAAGGGGGGCGGGCTCTCGCACAGGCCCTATCAGCTGGGTGGGTAGCAGCCCAGTTGGGCAAGGGGAAGCCACCTGTCCACCCTCCCCAGGGGTGTGGTTGTCTCCCACGGACTTTGTACCAAGAGCATAGACAGGCTGCTGGGCATGCGTCCTGCCTCTGTGAGCCTGGCCCAGGGCTGGGTCAGGCACAGGGGCTCCTGTGGGGAGCAGCCCCTCAGGATGGGCAGCAGACAGAGCAGAGGGATGGACCTACACCCAGCCCCACGGCCCCGTCTCCCCAGAGTGCCTTTGCAGCCCCAAAGTTTCACAACAGCAGCTGGAAACCACAGTTTGTAAACAACCCACTTCCGCATTTTCTGCTTCTCTCTATTCTTTCTCTTCCTTCTGCAACTTGGAGAGGAGGTCGGGTGGGGGTGGGGGAGAGGTCATCCAACACCCTTGTCCCTGTTGCTGTGGCTCTGGAGCTTGATACCCCAACAAGTAGGATATTGGAAAGGTGGTGTGTATGGGGCAGCTGGAAAGACCGTTGGATACAAGTGACAGAAAAACCGAGGCAAACTGGGTGGAGCCTTCTACAAGGAAATTACGTGGAAAGTTCATGGGTCTCCCGTCAGGTGTAGCTTGATCCAGTTACCTGAACAAGGTCAGGTTTCTGCCTTTGGTTCCTCCTTTCCTCCTTGATGGCTTTTCTCCTCACCAGGCTCCCCTGTTGTGACCCCAGACTCAGCCCAGGAGCTCAGTCAGCCCCTCCGTAAATTCCCCATCACTCTAGCCAGAATCTCAAGCCTGCCTCTGACGGGCCGAGCTTGGATCTCATGCCCCTACACCGTCACTGTGGGCAGGGGATGGCAGGTTCTGAGGAGCAGAACCTGGGTCACATGGCCCTCTGTAAGTTGGGGATGGTGGGTCAACATCTCGTGAACCTACTAGTGGGAGAGATGCCGCGTGTGACCAGAAGGGTGGGGAGGACCTCAAGCTATTCCCAGTGGGAACAGTGCACAGTCTTTTTCTCTACTTCTTTTCATGGTGAAAAGAAAAGTAGAAAACAACATAGCAAATGTGATTTGTTAGATCCCAACGTGTTTTCTTACTCAAATCAGAAACTCTGAAACGAAAGTCCATTAGCATGTGGAGTCCAGATTATGTAAGTAAGAGTGTTGGAAATTGCAACAAAATTTGGAAATGACCCAACAAGACAAGATGGTTCAATAAATAACCCTGCACGTCCCCAGATGCTTTGTTGACATGGAAAGACCGCCAGGGTGTAGTATTTATTAAGTGGAAAAAGTGATTGCAGGGCAGTGGGTCACCTTTCTGAGCCACTGGCACTTGGGGGGAGGTGTGCCCCGGTGACAACCTGCGGGAAGAGCTGGCAGGCAGAGGGAACAGCAAACGTTAACGACCTTGAGGTGGGACCCCCCGGGGGGGGGTGCTGCAGGGATCGAGTATTTGAGGATTTGGCATGAGGGGACAGAGAGAGATTTATCCTGGCCCCCTGGTGTGGGGTCCGCGATGGGGGAAGGGGTGTCACCTGATGTTAACTTCTCTCATTTGCTTGCTTGGGTGGTTGTTTCCCACACCATCAGACTGTGAGCCGAGTGATGGCAGAGGCCACATGTGTCGCGGTCCCCACCTGTGGCCCCCAGGAGGTTCCTTCTCAGGCTCAGAGGCAGAAGAGGGGTACAGGCTGGTCGTCTCCCCCAGGGCTGTGACTCCTTCAGGGCTGGGTGTTTCCTTGTGAAACATCTGTGCGGCTTTGCCCCCCGACCCCTTCCAAGGCGGAAGGCTGGGGAGGTGGGGGAGGGATTGTCTCCCCACCCAGTGAGGCCAAGGCTGGCCTGGGACCCCAACCCCTGGCTGGGTCCTTCCCAGATAGCGCCTCACTCTTCCCCACAGGGAAACTGAGGCTCAGAGACAGCAAGCAAGTTGCCCAAAGTCACAGAGCTGGGACTCAAACCCAGGCTCCTGAGCGTGGCTTCACAGCTCTCTGCACCTCCACTTCCTCATCTGTAAAGTGGGGCAACTCATAGGACCTGCCTCGAGGGTGGAGAGGACCAGTTGAGTGAATACTTGCCAAGACTCACAATGATTTCTACGCCTTGTAAGCACTCATGAACACTTGCTACAGTGCTTTTCATTATCGCCACCTGCACCATTAGTTTAATTATGCTTTATAGGAGGAAAAACCAGAAATGGCAATCAGTATCCTTTTGTAGAGGGTGGGGAAGGGACTTCTTACCCCAATGCCCTGAATTAGCTGCCACCTGGTGGCAGCGTACTCGTGACATGCCCAAGACATTCTCCTGAGGACTTTCGACCCTTGGTGGCACAACCAACAAACACCCAGACACATTCTACAAAACGGAATGTTTTTATTGTGCTAGATGCCACATGATGCTGCATGGGAAGGGCCCAGCCAGGGGCAGGTCAGGTAGGGTGACAGGAGAAGCCCCTTCTAGCAGGTCCTGCCCGCAGCGTCCCTAGGGTGGAGAGGGGCCGTCAACGTCACCGTAGCGGCGGATGGTGGAGTTGATCCAGTCTGCAAACTTGGCGACGGAGGCAAAGGTGTCTGGGAAGATCCCGGAGCCGCAGCCCCCTCGGATGAAGGAATCGATCCCATGGATCAGCCTGTTGCAGACCAGGGGCCCGCCGGAGTCCCCCTGTGGAGCCAGACAAGTTCGGGAGTCTGGGCTTCCAGTCCCCACCCTCACACCCCCACCCACCCCCTTCAGGGTCGGGGATTCCTTCCACGGGTCTGGCTGTAGTCCTAGTTGCTGCAGCCTGGATGGGAGCGCGGTGGTGGGTCAGGGGGACATGGGGTACGTACAAAGCAGATTCCAGCATGCTGGCCTGGCACCAGGGTGCACACGTTGGAGGGGCGGCAGAGGGCTGTCACCACGGTGACGTTGAGCTGCTGCAGGACTGGGGGCGGTGGCCGGTTCGTGTCCAGCTGGCCCCAGCCCATGGCCACACACTGCACCCCTTCTCCCACGCCTTGGTCCTGGGCGGGCAGCTGGGCCACCTGCACGTTGGTGTTGATGGTGGCCATCCCACGGAGCTGCAGCAGGTGGGACGGAGCAGTGGCATGTCACAGAGGGTGGGGAGTGACGACCCTCACCTCTCTGGGCCCTGGTTTCCCCAACCGAGGCTCCACCATGGTCCTGGGATGTTTCAGAGCAGGACACCCACCCTGCAGGTTGCCTTCCACTTCAAGCCTCAGTTTCCCTGTCTGTAAAGTGGGAGCAGTCACCGTGGCTCAGGGCATCCCTGGATCTGTCTTGAGTGCAATAAGCAGTAGGTAATAGGGCTTCCCTGGTGGCATAGTGGTTGAGAATCTGCCTGCTAATTCAGGGGACATGGGTTCGAGCCCTGGTCTGGGAGGATTGCACATGTCGCGGAGCAACTAGGCCCGTGAGCCACAACTACTGAGCCTGCGCGTCTGGAGCCTGTGCTCCGCAACAGGAGAGGCCGCGATAGTGAGAGACCCGCGCACCGCGATGAAGGGTGGCCCCCGCTTGCCACAACTAGAGAAAGCCCTCGCAACTAGGAATTAATAAACTCCTACTCCCAACATCTTCTTTAAAAAAAAAAAAAAAAGTAGGTAATAAAGCAAACTATGGGCCACAGCAACGACCATAAAACCGTTGTTCTAGAACATTGCCTGAGAATAATCATAGCTGGGCAAGCAGAAGGGAAAGGCAGGTTTCTTCCTCCAGTCTCCCACTGGCCCGAATGTGGGGAATTTTGCCCCATTTGGCAAAGAGGGAGACTGCCCCTGCCCTCCGCCAGCGGGCACAAAAATACCTTTCTCGCTGTCACCTCATCTAATCTCTGACAGCCCTGCACGGCGGGGGTGGAGTGGGGATGGGGAGTATTTCTCTGTTTTACAGAGGGGGATACTGAGGCACACAGAGATGGAGGCGACACCAGGTCTGCGCCCGCCAGCCTTGTCCCCCAGGCTCCTGCCCCTCCCCCGCCCTCCCCAAGCCTCCCACGGGCCTTTGCACCTGCCCTTCCTGCCCCGCCCCCGGCCGCGGACCTGGAGAACCGCGATGTCGTTCTGCAGTCTCAAGGGGTTGAAGCCGTTTTCGAAGACCCGCTGGACCCTGAACGTCTGCCGGGTCCGCTCTCGCCGCCGCAGGTTATGTGCCCCCAGCACCACGCGCACCGATCGGGAGTTCCTGGGGCGGGGGGACAGGAGGTGATTGGGGCGCCCGCGGGGTCGGGAGCGGCGGAGAGACCCCGCCCGAACGCAGGAGGACCTGCAGACCCTCGCGCCTTCGCCGGAAGGCCCCACCCTGGGTCCGCAGCACGGCCCGCGCGACCCTCGCGCGGCGGGCGCACTGGAACCCGAGATGGGGACGCGCAGGGACACTCACAGGCCGTTCACACAGTGCGCTGCCGACAGCACGAAGTTCCGCGCGATCAGGGTGGCGCCGCAGAAGTGGCGTCCGCGCCTCTGCAGGGACGCCATGAAGGGCCACGCGTGCGGCCTGGCCGGCCGGCCCCCCACGATCTCCGAGGCCAGCGCGGGGCCTGGGGGGCAAGGGCGGTGGCGGCGGTGAGCGGCGCGGAGGAGCCCCGCCCCCGCCCGGGAACCCCACCCCCCACCCCGTCCCAGGACCCCACCGGGTCGGGTTCTTGCCGTGCTTATCGCCCAGAGAGGGGAGGGGGCCTGCACGGTCCCCCTGCCAGGGCGCAGCTAGATCTGGACTTCACCCGCTGGGAGTCCCCAGAGACCCCGCTGTTCAGACCTCACCACTCAGGACCTCAGCCTTCTCATCCCAGCTGTCACTCCCCATGAGGATGAGGGGGCCGGCAGGGTCCCCAGCTGGTGGAGAGGCAGGACTGGACCCCAGGGGCAGACCCAGGCCCCGCTCACCGCCCAGCAGCACGGCCAACAGGATAGCGGCCAGGGCAGGGCTGGAGGGTCTGCAGCTTTGGATCATGGTTGGGCGGGAGCTCTGGCGTCTCTGCCCTTTGTGCCCACCTGCCCTTCTTATAGCCCCCATGCCCGGAGGCCGTTGCAGTTGCCCGTGGGGGGGCCTGGTGCCCCCGCTTCCTCTGCCCATCCTGGGACGTGGGGGACGAGGGGGTGATGGGAGAACAGGGGGGAGAAGCAAGGGGCGGGGCTGGCTCCAGGAGGGTCCCCAGATCAAACTCAGATGCACAATTAAACTGGAACGTCAGATAAACTTTTTTTTTTTTTAGCATAAGTATATCCCAAATATAAGCACAGGATGTACTTACGTACAAAGTTAGTCTTTGTTTATCCGCCATTCAAAGTTAGCTGGGAGCACTGTATTTTTGCTAAATCTGACCACTCCGGCCCAGAGGAGCTGGCTGGGACGCCCATGTGCCTCAGTTTACCCAGGGCAACGGCAACCATGTGCACGCAGCCGTGTCCTGACATTTGGGAGGCGTGGCAGGGGTCCCCCCATGAGCTGCCTACCCAGTGAAATAGTGGGGGAACTGGGCTTTGAACCCAGGTGCCCACAATGCACAGCTGGAGGGAGACTTGCTGCCTATTCCTCAGCCTTGGGTCTCCCTCTTGGAGCCCGGACTGGTTGTTGTTCCTAACGGGGAACTCACGCCCACCTGGGACCTGATCAGTCTCTGGGGGCCCTCAGAGGTTCTGGGGAGGAATCCCTCCCGCCCCCACCCCACCCGCACCTCTCTGAGCTTCTCTGAACCCCCTTCCAGCCTGAGGCAGAGGAAAAATTTCCCGCCCAGGCCTGGAGGCTGGATCATGGATCTCCAACCAAGTTTGAGAGCTTCAGCCTGGACCTTGGAAGGACTCAAGCTGAACAATGGAGATGGGGTCCACCAGGGCCAGTTCCCAGCCCCGTGGCCCCAGTTCAACTCCCTCCCACCCCACCCCGTCCCACCCTGCTCCAGCTGCAACGGCTGTAGCCAAGGCTGTCGCAAGAAGCAACGTTCTCCTGGCTCAGAGCAGGGTTCAGGGAAGGGAACCAACGGATCCATCTGCAGGAACAGGCGGGCGGGGGCCCTCAGGGACACCCGGAGGCGGGCTGGGGCTGGAGTCCAGTTTGTCCCTGGGCTCCTCCTTGGTGTGTGGCCACAGGCAAGCAAACCCCCATCTCTCCCCTCTCGGTGGGGTCCCCACCCTGTTGAGTTAAAGTTACCATAGAGCACTTGGTAAGCACCTGCTGTATACATAGCCCTGTTTCCAGTGGGGGTGGGCATAATGGAGGCGACCATGACTCAGGCAGCGAGGCCGGATTTAAACAAAAGCTGCATCTATATTGAGCACCACCTGTATGCTATTTCCTCACAGGTCATGGTGGCTAAGCTTGTGGACTCTGGGTTCGGATCCTGGAGTGGCCACTTGCCCACTATGACTTCAGGCTATAGATGTAACCCCTCCATGCCTCAGTTTCCTCATCTGTAAAATGGAAGTTATAGGCTCCCATCTCACAGGATTGTCCTGAGGATTAAATGAATGAACTTTTGTAAAGTTCTCAGATGAGAAAGTGCCGTTCTTGAGGGCTTGTTAACCATTAACCCGCTTCCAAAGGGCACGGTGCTAGTTGCCTTGGGGAGCGGGGCTGGGCATCTGGGGGAGTTCTGATTCACGATCAGAGCCGTGATGCCACGGGGAGTCTCGCTTGATCCCCGTCACACCGCAACAGGAAAATGATGCTCTGCGTGTCCTTCCCACGCTGTTGGAAGCCGCCCTGCTGTCCCCGAGGTCCCCCAGGTCGCATCTGCCCAACATCCTGTTTATGATTCCTGTGGGTCTGTCCCCTGAATCTCAACAACCCCGGCCAACCTCCAGCAAATCAACCCAGGCCCCTATATCCCCCAGCCTCACCTCCCCTTCTTGGATCTGATCTTTGCTGTGCAGAACTTTCCTCTGTCACACACACACGTACACGGGCTCATAGAAAATAGAAAACAGGCTTCCCTGGTGGTGGGTGCAGTGGTTAAGAATCCGCCTGCCAGTGCAGGGCACACGGGTTCGAGCCCTGGTCCGGGAAGATCCCACATGCCGTGGAACAACTAAGCCCGTGAGCCACAACTACTGAGCCTGCACTCTAGAGCCCACGAGCCACAACTACTGAAGCCCGTGAGCCACAACTACTGAGCCCGCGCACCTAGAGCCCGTGCTCCACAAGAGAAGCCACTGCAGTGAGAAGCCCGCGCACCCCAACGAAGAGTAGCCCCCGCTCGTGCAACTAGAGAAAGCCTGTGCGCAGCAACAAAGGCCCAAGGCAGCCAAAAAAAAAAAAAAAAGTTAAAAAAAAGAAAAGAAAAGAAAGTAGAAAACACCCGGGGCTGTTTTTTTCTGGGTCTTTCTGTTCCCATCAATGGGCTCAATCCAACATTCCCTCCAGCAAACCTCATTTACCCCCAGTGCTGGGCACCAAAATCCCTCTGGGCTTTTTATAGAAACCACTTCCCTGCCGCTGGCCCGTGGGAAATGCAGAAAATTCCCGGCGTTCCCTCAACACTTATCAGCTTGCGTTTCCCAGGATTTCGGCTCTGCCTCAGGTCTCAGCACACCCTTGCTCCTGCTG